AAATTTCTTTCCTATTTTACTTTTGTTTACAAAAAGCAGTTGCTTTTTTCTTTTCTCAATTATTTAATTTTCAATAGAGAATTAAAGCAAAAAAAAAAAAAAAAAACACTTTACTAAACCAAAACAGGTGTAACGTTTTAAGAAAAATTTTTGATGAGCTTTTAGTCATCAAACTAACAACTAGCAGTTAAGCACTGTTCATTATAAAGTTATCCAAGTCAAATATAACCTTCAGTATAGCTTTTCAGCTAAATAGTTGAAAAAGTTTTGTCTACCTATTTTGTTTGCACATTGTTGAGGTTAACTTTGCAACTTGAAAAAAGAAGAATTAAAATGACAGTGTAATTAAGTAAACTTCAATTATTGCTTTAATAGCTCTTGGAAACTTAGATTTACCATTAATGCTGATATTAAAAAAAAAAAGATGGTTACAAGTTACAAGTTTTGTTACAAATTTTTTAAGATTTTATTTAATAAATTTGCCTTTTTAAGCTTAGTTTTTTTTTTTAATTTTAAATAGTGATAACGAATAAATAAAAAAGCCAAAAAAACCAACTTTTATTTACTTCTATAGTCAGTAAGTGTTTCAGCTATAGTTTCTATTGTCAGAAGCAATCTGAAGAACGACAACTGATGGTTTGCAATAAAATCTACAATAGTTTCAAACTTTGCTTACTTTATTTTCTTCTACATCAAACCACTTTCCTTCTCCTTCTTTTTTTTTTTTCTGCGATCCAATTAATCAGTTGTTTAAGCGGAATAAAAAACAACTTTCACAAAAAAAGGAAAAAAAAAGGAGGTGAAATGTTGTAATCGTGCTAAGAACAGTTGAAAATATGTAATTGGGAATAATAATGTAGTGTCACGACAAGGACACTGCAAAAACACATCGTATACAACGTAGAAAAATTGAACTGATGACTTGAAATGTTACAGAAAATTTAACAGTGATCAATTTAGGCAAGTATAACGGATCCGTATGGTGGAGGAGGTCGAGTTGATCAAGGTTATTATCCGTATGTTGGTGGACCAACACGTAATTACTGATCGTACCTGCAGAAAACAGCACCAGTAAAACCTCATAAGCTTAAAACAGATATATATATATATAT